TGGGATATGTGTCCAAGCTATCCAGACTCTACTTGGCAGACCGGCCAAGACGATGTACCACCACACCATCCAACCATGGCGGTGTTTATAGTGTCGCCTGCACTCTCGCTGCCGAAGTCTTGGCACGCACAAAGCTCAATTTGTAAAAACTCCTTGCCAAAATTCAAAACTCCACGCCCGTCGAGACTGTATCCATCCTCTGTATCATCTTGTAAGCTTGTCCTGATCCCTCTCACGCCAGTCCTAAAGAACAGTCCCCCAGATTTGTGCGCCACGCTTTGTGTCCTCCGTCGGGTATAGATATCGGCGTGGGCGTGTATTTGACGACCGGCTGAGGCCAAAGAAAGTCGACGAGAAGTGTGATCATTGGAATAAGGATGTACTAAGTCGTACTCGTAGACTTGATGAGGCTTAGGTAGGAATCGATTTCGTTGGAAGTGAAGGATTGATATGGTGGAGTAATTTGAAACATTGCCTCGTGGGCCAACTTGTTCGATATTGCGAAGTTTGACTGGACTTAGCTCTAGGAGAATATTTCACTCCCAGGTTCGTGGATGTATACTCTCGTAATATAGTGCAGTTATTTTTGAAACAGCTGCGTATTTTCAGATATTATCAATTGATTTTTTAATTTTAAATGAGGACTGATTTACATTTTGTTTTGAGTTGAAAACCATACCCATGAAGTTTGACTTTCACAGAAGATCATTGGATAGCACCCCTGCTTGTACAACTAGTATAGGATCTAGACATGGGCCTGCATGAAGATCAAACCAATCAAATTCATAATTGCAGGGATCACACCCCAGTCATTTTGGCAAACTGACATTTCCTATCCATAAGAGTTTGATAGTACGCACGGATCATCGTCAATGCCTGTACAACTCTCAGTCCTCACATATTACATGACCGTATAACTAGAGCTGATTATACTGAAATATACGTCCGCTCACCCCTGTCATATATTATCGCCGGCAAAGACGAATTCTTCACCTTCCAGTGGTGCCGGTGTGATCGCACAGTATGCTCTGCATATCTGGGATAGCCAAGAAGAATCGCATCCAAATCGAAGTCCAAAGCACTCGCAAGCACATCTAAAATCGACGACTCATCGTCATTGTCCGACCTATCATTCTCTCGCGAGTCCTCCACCTCGCCTCAAATACCGATAATGGCCTTACTCCAATTGCAATCGGGCATTTGCCTCATCAAAAACCGGCCATTTCCCACTACACATTTACGATGCTATGTATACCCGCGACGAGGGAATTAAGTCATAATCTACAAAGCTCGGGTCTGGGTCTATGGGGGACCGTTGCTCTAACGGGGCTACACATCTTGAGGGAGGATAGGCAACTGGGACGTGGGACGAACGAGTGAAGAGGCCACAAACGGACATGTTAGGACGCACATTTTTCGAGTGTCTTCGACTTAAGGGTGTGTGTGGGTGCAGAAGTAACGATTTCGGATAGCGCAACCGACACTCTGAAAATAGGCAACGATGGAAGGTGTTTTGGTCCGCCTCCTCGTCGGAATCTCCCCGAATTAAAGTGTGGGTAGCCTGGACACCTACCTCACTCGAGATAGGGAGGACTGTGAGGCCATATCTCGCGCGGCGGCTATATACAAGATGGCAAAGGCATGTTAGGGTAGCCAAAGATTTTTCCTATTTTCCCTTTGGTGGATTTGAATTTCATTTCATTTGGCGCGATTTGGCGGCCTATGGGCCCATGCAGGTGTCTACGAACTCTAATATTTACATAGGAGGAAACCTTGCGGTAAAAACCTCCGTAGCTGTCTGACTTGACTCTGCGTGATTATAGTCTTACCTCTAGGAAGTGCACTCACACTATTGTTGCCAGTGTGGATTCCGTCCTTGTCCTGTGTATCCATTTTGCTCCCTTTGCCTGATGAACGCCTCGATTTCCCCGGTCATCCGAAACTGCTCTAGCCATCCTTCCTTTTGAATCCACTGTGCAATTCTTGTCATATCTTTGACGTTATTTACCATGGCTTCGAAAGATCGAGTCGTCGATTTTCGTAGCAGCTCACCTCGTCCCTTTGCCCATCTTGGACAAGACATCACTATGTGCTTTATATTTTGGGACAGATATCCACATTGGCAGCATGGTTTTCCTACTCCTGGCAAGTTCCTTCTGTATAAGTAAGCATTGAGCCCAATGTGCTCGCTTCTTACATGTGTGGCAATGCTGCTCTGGGCCCTGCTAAGGTTTTGGTGGATTTGGATAGGTGACTCTCTATAGTTCATCATAAGTCTACCTCTTTTCTTGTCGTTGTATAAGTTTGCAGTATTCCACTTATCCGGATTGGCTTGCGCTCGGGGACCCCTTTGGTGGATATTAACGGCTGAGGGAAGGGTGAAAGTCCCTAGCACCGAGGTCTCGAGTGGTATCAGCGAATGCACCCACTACATGAGTGGTCCAAATATCAAACTGAGTTATCGTCGTATATTGTCGTCGGAGAAGCTGATCTTCTCCGTGTCATGCTCTTTGAGTGCAGGGCCTGTGTCCGTCACGAATAAATTTTATTACTTTTATCATATATTATCTTAGGTGCTAGATAGTGTACGATTCAGGTAGTACAACAACAACAACTATATCATTTTAGAAATGATGACTAGCTATGTTGATGAGTAATGAGTGACCTATTCAGGAATGGCATTAGGAGAGAGGGATAACTGCCGTATATACGTGTTTCCTTTAGTTAGAAAGATAAGAATCAAGATATATGCTAACCACCAATTGCTGTTACTGCTACACAAAGTGTGTGATATAAAGACCACTCGAGTATTCCGACAGGAGCTCATATGCATCCCCTCAAGCTATGTCTCATCTCCAGGGATATACACTAGATTTCCCCAGTTCCGTCTCGACCCTTTGTCCTCAGCGCAGACTGCCTTATTTGTAAATACTCTGACAATATCTACCTCGTGTGACGGAGTGATGACACCAAACCTCTTTCATCGGATTCCACGAGGCTAGCTCGGCCTCCGGTCAATTCCGTCTCCCTTGCCGGCTTTCCACCGACTCCGATACAAAACCCAGGTGAATATTACCTAACAAATCCACCAGAATAAATAACGATAAATTCACTTGCGTAAACCCCAAAGCGAAGGAAATCCTGGTCGACACTTGTCCAATAGACTTCGAGCGTAGGATGAGGAGATGCTGGCTTTCATTTTCTTTGTTGGGTCTGTGGAGGCGCCCATGCGTCGTATGGATTTACGAAGGCTAGGCCAACCGACAAGTGAAGAGGTCACGTGCTATGCGCGGGCACGACGATGAATACTTTGGATGAACAAAGCAAAGACGTCATAGAAGATTCATGCTTCTTGCTCATCACATACGCCGCCCCATGCGTCCCGCACAGCTCCAGCAAATAGTATCAGCCGCCATTCGATCGTGAAGTGATTATAACCAGCCTCACGCGTCTGTACTTCCATTCGAAGCATGGCCACAGCGGCTGACCAATAATACCGCTCAGCTCATAACGGCCCACCTTGGAGCGCGAAGGGGGACGTGCACTATCGTCTCCCTAAGCGAGCCTGCGCGTCGAGACTACATCTATATTTTCCGGGAGTTGCGGATGGCAATAAACGCCGAGGGCCGCTGGAGCTTCATCAATGCCGGCGTCGATCCCGCGCAGTCGCGGGCGGAAGCTGCGACTCCAGATCTTACGCTGGCTCTGCGTGCGAGGCTATCAGAAAACACCGAGACGGCAGAGGAGCTAGGCGCGCCGGCTCTCAGCGGCAACAGGGAGCGTTTGCAGGGGTGGCGGTGGCCTAGACATGTATGGGGCCAGAGGACCACAAATATCCTGTGGCTTTTTTTTCTCGCCATCCTTGACCTTGACTGGCTCTTGGCAGCTATTCCTGCGCTATGAGTGAGTCGGGCCCATGGGCAGCAATATCGTCGACTTCGTCAGAGCCGTGTGGGGGAAATTTTGCACAAAGTTTCCACGCAGACGTGTCCGCGCCTGCGGGCTGAATCTGTATTGGACAGGCGCGCGTTGAGGCGCTACGTGACACCAGCCTAAGCGAAGAGCGGCGTTGAAAGCCATGTTCTATTCGCCGATTCTAGCGAGCTTCGGCCCAGCAGCTGCAACCCCCCCAAAATCCCGTCACATACACCTCAATTCGCCGCTGCTGTCGCGCTAGAGTACGCCGTGCGGACTTTGGGCTGGAGCGTGCCTGGCTGCGTCTTGGCTCCACTTCCCGGGACCGGCAGTTGAGAGATGGCGGCTTCCGAAATCACCACCTGCACAGATCAGCGAGCACGAAGTGTCCTGGTCGTCCGATGCATATCTCTACGGCTAGCAATCTTCCGGCACGGCAGCACCGCAGGGGCATGATGTCTCGAATTTTCCGTGCACACTTCCGGTCGGGGAGAGTGCTGGCCGTCCACCGCCTCATGTGAGACGACACGTGATGGCGCAACTGCACCTGCGTAGCCCAGCAAGCGTAAATCCAGGTATACGATGAATTATATACCCCTCCCCCACTTATCCATAGGCTGTACGCTGACTAAAGGCAATTATTATTACATAAGAATCAATGCTAGTGCTTGTTTGTTTTCACGTCTCCACCGGTCCGTAGATCTCCAACACTGCGATTTGATACTTTATTTTCCTATGGAGTTTAATCTGGCACTAGCACACGTAGACCCTTACCGATAACGGGTCAGGAATACTTGTGGCTCGACTAGTGTGCTCCTGTGTGTCCCTACCTTGAATCCTACTGATTCATTCCATTGTCTTTGGTATTGCGTCTTTCTGTCTGACACTCATGCGCAAATCAATTTGGTGGTATAGTTGCCTCTAGCGAGACTGATTGCCTTCACGTGTGCTGATCTTACATTTACATGGTTATAGCCGGATAAGACATGAGCCGCCAAAACCCCCCCTAAAACCCCCTCTAGCGAATCGCCTGCGCCAATATTCCGTTTCGCCTTGCTCTATCCTAAAATGACGTGTTACATTATCTAATCTGCCCTTAGATCAAAAGTTGCAGTGCTAAAGGGGCTATCTGGCTCGCTCATTAAACTCCCTTCACGAATCCCTAACGCGCTTAAGTTGTTCACCATTGAATTAAAATCCTTGCGGACAGGCGAAAAGGGCTGTGTCCGCCCGAGTCCTGGATCTACTGGCGGAGCCATACGATGTCCACGAGTTGATCTAGTGCCACTGTCGTTCACAATCACAACCATCCATACACCGATGGCGCCATTAGCTCCGATTAATGGAGTACAGTGGATCCATCTACTCCGTCCTTCGGGATCAGACTTTGATACCCACTTGACCTTGGCAGTGACGCCATGCCCATCGGCAAATGCTCTCATGAGCTCATCACGGACTCTTTGGGAGCCGCCAATTTTTGACATGAGTGGACTCTGAAGGATGCCGGGGACTCGAAGCGAAGGACTTGCGAATAATATGTGTAGATTTGGATAGGGTCGTACCAAGAGGTAGTGCTCATAGATTCCCTCGAGTTTGCCTCGCCACCGCCCATATCCAGCTTCGTGCTCTGCAGCACCATCAGGACTGCCTGGGTTGATAAGTAGACGTGGCTTGGCCCAATTCCCTGTAGTTTCCGAGTTATTGTCCTGTGGTTCCCTGTGCATCCTTCCTCCCCACTTTCGTACAGTGTCGAGTTCCTGGAGGTTAAGCATTTCACTCAATTCTTGGAATTCATCCTTTACTTCATCATTTTCAGCTTCGTTAGTTACACCTTCTTCGACGCGAGCGACAAGACGTCTAAATGATTCGAGCTCAGAGCATTCTTTAACTAGACCTGACACATCAACTTGAGCACCAATGAAGTAACGTATTTTTCCTTTACTATCACACAATGGTGCACACATGAAGAGGTTCATGAATGGTGAACCATCTCGCCGACTAGATTGTTAGTATTAGAGAATAGGAGTTTAGCGTGAGGAACTTACTAGTTCAAGACAACTTCACAATGTTCAACGCCAGCTTCTATTTTGTCTTTGATGCGCTGGATACTAAACTGATTGGTCTTGGGACCTTGGAGAAACCTACAGTTCCTCCCGATCACGTAAGAGAGGCCATACTGCGTAGTCTTATGAAACTCTGTAGGAATTAAATTTGAGACGAAAAGGAGCCTGAATGTGACGACTCACCTTCCGATGAAAATATTATGGGATTGTCTGGACGCGAGGGATCGGTCATGCAGAATACTTCAGCTAAGCCTTCCGATGCCTCTCTCAAGTGTGAAGGAAGAGTCCCAGTAATTCTTCTCTGGATTGATAAGCTTACTGTCTGAGTGTAGGTGTGAGTGATGAAAGCTGGTAAGTCTTCTTGGACTAGTAAGTCAAAAGCTTTTTGCGACTTTTCTTCCAAGTCAGAATTTTGTGTGCGCCACGATGGCTCGGATGTAAAATTGATGCCCGGAATGGGTTCCAAGGCCTCTGCAATGGCGTTTGAGTATTTTATTGCTTTTAGGGCTTTAATGGAGTCTAGATAATAGACCAATATCGGTATAGATGAAACTCGATATGCACTGAGATACGATGTGAACTTGAGAAGAAGGGCAGGATCGTGGAAGATGATGTGGAGATGTTCGTGCGAGAATAGTAGATCGGAGCGGGCTTCCAATGAGTACTCAGATTTATCCTTGCCAATTGAATCCGTCGGCACGATTAAATCAAAAGATGTCGGGTCAAACTCATGCGGAGAAGCTAGTGCAAAGCCGGTACGGTAATCTTTTGGATAATGCTTGAGTTGCAATGGTGGTAGAGATCTATCTAGGTGCCGAGAGTCTTGCTCCGAGTCGCTTGTGCACATGGAATGGGAGCCAATTGTTGAACACGAGGCCTTTGAAGAGAGAGTAGTACTAGTGGATGGCGGAGACTTTGGTAACCTTTTAGTCATCGACGACTGCGGAATTATTGGTGAACTTTGGTGGAGTCCGGCCGCCCGGACCTCTAGATTTTCGGGCATTTCAAAGTAGGCGTCTCTCCACTGTGGTATCTGGTCGCTCACACAGGTGTTGGATGTTCTAATAAAGCGTTAGCTAGCCTGTACATAACAAAGGTTGTTGTTTCTGTTGCTAACTGAGGTCGTGCTGGCGAAAATATGTGTAAGTCGTCTGATTGATTTATGTATTTTGATCTTTGAGAAGGTAAAGGATGGTAAATTGACGCCTCCCGGGCAGGTGAGTTGACAAAGGTAAGTCGTTGGTCATTTTGAAGAGCCGGGGATATACGGCGAGGACTATGTATCATCCTTACGATCAGCTGGAAGCGATTGGCTTTGTCGAACGGATAGGGAATTGTTGAACAGTGATGGTCGCGTCCGTTTGCAAAACTGACGATTCTATGGAGCGATGGCTGCTTCTTAAGACAATCGATGTTAGAAAGTGAAGTATTTGATCTCGATCCTACATGATCAACGAATGATCAACAAAAGAAGCTAAATGAATCTACTACTCTGCCTTCGGCCCCAGTGTTGCAGTGCGTAAGCGATGCAGGGGAATGTTGCTGGAACGGAAGAAACGCTAGAAAAGTTCATCCTTTTGTCCGAATGGATAACATTTGCATTCAGCGTTTCTTTTTCGGCCATCGAACACGGACGATGTGGGCTCGGACGATAGCAATATTCAGCTGTGTGAAAGTAGCCGAGAGCCGAAATGCAATGGTCAAGACTCGTTGCAGGAAGAGCACAGGGAATCTAGAGCGGTTAGCCATAGCCCTCGTGCAGTATAGGTAGAATACAGGCTGCCTAGTACCTGAGGCAAGCCACCTGCAGCGTCCCTTTGCATTGAATCGGACGCCTGTCCAGCCTCGACGGCGTTGTTGGCCCCACTTCGCTGACGATAAGGTCAGAACGGGATCGGCGCAGCTGCACGTCGACCCTAACGACAATTATTGAACTGGGTATCTAGATACAATATTTAGAATAGGGGGTACTAGTCAATGAGACTGTTGGTACGGCACTCTAGTCCGGGGAGGTGGGAGATTATCTCAACTAGGTCCCTTCTAGTTCCCGACGTGCCCCGGTGGAGAGAAGGGCGCAGGAAGCGATGATGATGATACCGACGATAATGTAGCTAGCGGCCAATACCATTTGCAAACACTCGAGCAACAAGCAAAAAGGAACAACATCAATGAACGCTCCAATTCACAGCTGTATGTGACGGAGAAATCTCTGAGGACCACCCTAGCGATAGGCAGGAGTATCTACTCTACGCTGCGTTCATCGTGGTTTGACCTGCTAATAGCACTGCTATAGTGAGTCATGTGACTCAACAGGGTCCGCATCGATCATCTGTGCGCGGACTCCTTTGATCGACCGACAACTTGACGGCCGAGATGTCATCAACGTATGAGTGGGACTGTCCTCAGGAGATGTACGGGACAAAATTCAATCATCTAGATGGAGTGACCAGATAGACAGATCCATCCTACAATGCGACGAGGGTGTCTCAAGACGTCGCACCTGCACGTAATTTCTCTTACATGCCTTTAGCTCTGGTCGAAGAGCTAGCTACGCCGAGAATGAGTGGAAACCTCCATTCAGTGCGGGGTGGCCTCGCTGAACCCTCAAATCCGTCTCCCGACATCTCCCTATCCAATTTTGTCGGCAAAAGTGCCGTCTGTGAAGATAGGCGGCCTTTGAGACGCTACACTTTTCTAGAAGTTAAACGAAAATTCTAGGTTTGATTTACATGCTACCCTCCATTTAACGAAAAGTAAGCGTGATGAAAGCAGACCATAACCTCTCTCAGTATCACACTTATGCGAATGTCATTTAGCCTTGACATTGTCTCTACTCATCCGATCCGTTCAGCAAGTCACGAAAAATACTTAGCTGCATGAGATAACTGAATACTGCTCGTCTGCATAAACATAAGCTGCCCAGTCGAAGACTCTCAATTAAATCTTGTGAGCACTATATGGTAGCCCTAAAGTTCAAGCTCACCGAAGCTTTACAAGTCAGAGTCCAGAACTGGCTTGTACAAGATGCTATGAACAGGTTGGAGATATTCTGTGAGCTAGATAGGTGTACGACGTCAGCACAAACTTTAGTCAGAAGAGTGTTCTCTTTACTGATATTTGGGAGAGTATTGTTTTTCTGGAATCTGACCGTAGTTAACTTATGATACGAAAATAAGTTGATTTATCATGGCATTCTGATAGACTAAGACCGTATAAAAGGCATTGAAAGGAGCTGATCTTGAGACATAGCTAGCCCCGATTTACTGATATTACAAGGAATCGGAAACGTAGCCCATCAAAGAGCAACTATAATGCACATTACCGGGATCCATGTGTGTCAGAAATTCACATTTTCGTAGGGCGAACGCGTCGGGCTCCCATTCTTATTCTTGAAAAGTGTAATCCCAACCATTTAATACCAGCTAAAGCAATACATCTGAATCATAAGTCCTCATAAGGAGGTTGGAAACATGCGCCGCCCAAAATTGGCAGCAGTATAATCCATGTTTTCGGCGGGCAAGGGCACAAAATATGCCAGCAATAGCTCTTGAGAGTTCGGAGATGGAATATCGTTCCATGGTTAAGCTTGTTCGAAATTTTCGACACTCAGGATTATGACCCGCGAGGAAATTATTCAAGACTCCCTACCACGTCAATCCTTCACTTCCGACAAGATCGATTCCGATATATCTTCCTCTAGTATGCTAGTACAACCTTGTACGTCCTCCCTTATTTTTCATGTCCCTTGTCAATTCCGACTTTCGCATCAGCTAGCCTACAAACATACGCCTTAGACGCCGCGAACTTTCACAGCAGAACTTCAATAGCGGCACAAAAACTGGTAGTGTAGGTCATGGGAAAAGATGCGAGAGATAATAGAATAGATGAAGAAAGTGATTTTATGGATCGATTCAAACTCAGTGAGACTAAAGGTCCCATTTTCGAAATGGAGTTTTCAAGATTGAAAAGTACTCCACGTGACACAAATTGATTGGAGAGAGCGTAGACGATAATGTAACGCGGCCATGGTTGAAAAGTGTAGCTATACATCAGTTAGCCTAATTTCTCAAGTCGTGTCTAGGCAGCGTGGATATCCATCCCCCTCCGTAGAGGAGATTGCTGGTCCAAATCCGTAATGAGCCGACTACATATAACGCGGCTCATTTGTAGAAAGACATGATTCATGGATGTCAGGGTAGACTAAGGTTTTTAGCTTTTCCTAATAGCTCCCTTTATCAAACAAGCGCTGAATGGAGTAGGTCGAGACTCCAAATTGAATGAAACCGTTGTATATACTTCGAGCATGACTGTATTATGTCAATTTTGTCTCATATTCCCCCACCTTTAGTCACAGTTAAGAAGTAACCTTTTCCATGCTAAGACCTTGTAAGCATTTCATGCACGTTGGGTTAGAGTCATAATCGTCTCAGGGGCCCAATGGTTCTGTAGTATTTGATTTTGTATTTTCTTGTCATTTTAATTTCAGACCATATGAACATATAGATTTTCTCTGCCTAAATGCCTATGATACCTATGCCTCGCGTAGTTTATCTCAATCCATTCCAGCAACACAATAAATCAAAGGTCTTCATTCGATCACACACTCTAAGGAGCCCTCACTCTCCAATGTCTTATATATCAACCAACGCAACTTTAGATGTTTGCTAGTTTTTGATAACCGGGAGACGTCGAGAAAACCAGTAGGTAGGGGTCTCTGGTAAAATCGACATCAGGTTTAACTCGGAAGATATAAGCAATCTTTTGAAACGTTCCGAGACGCTGGCAAACCCAGCAGCGAAGACTTGTGTATACCAACCTGAAGCAATCTGTGCCTTCATAGCCCCATTTTAAATCCTTCTATCGCTGGCGCCTCAGTACCAACCGTTGTAATTTAGGAACATAAAAAATCTCTGGTATGCTGTTCGCAGTTGAACATAACGTAGGTGCATCATGAGAAATGATTAACCCATATCATCAATCATTGGCATGAATAGGAACTAACCAATAGATGCCTGACGGGATACATTGGCCCTAGGATCTTCCTCATCCTTCCTTAGTTAGACCCGAAAATATGCTGGTAGCCCCACTAGCGTGCAGAAACCCCCTTTTTATGTATATAGAGGAACTTCCTGCCACATAGGTATATTAAGCAATCTAGTATCGGCAAATTGTAAAATCTCCAGCCTCCTCACACACGTGAGAGTTTTCGGGAATATGCTCGACTATGGCCATCTCCGTCTGTGCCATAATTTCAGCGACACGTAATTCCAGCTCGGTACAACTTATCGATATGAGCTAGAAGCTTTTTCGGAATATCAGGAATCCAGACGGAGAGTATCTGATGTAAAGTAGCCTAGCACGAATGCTTTGGATAGTCTGGGGTAGTGGGTAATACCGTTGACTCAATGACAATGAAAGGCCCCCTGGCTAGTGTCGTAACCAAACTCGGCTCTGTAGACCCTACAGCGAGAGGCGGATGTTTGTAGGGGACAGCGTTGACAGGTGTTGAATTTCCTTCTCCGAGTCGCAAGGAATTGCATTACTGCATAATTGGGCGAAACATCGCAATCCAATGATTTCTCAGGCGAGCGCGCGAGTCATTTTTTGTTACACCGAGTTGTCAACGACACTAACAGGCTTACTGAGTATCGCAACTGCCTTTCGACGCCCTAAGCATACACCTAGTCCATGCCGTCAAACACTCTGACATACGGAACACGACTTGTTATAACCCTTTCACCCCACATCTATCAAAAGATACCCTGACTAGACAGGCGTGAGCATCATGTGAAGAAAATGAGATAGTCCCCCTGGTAATAGGATTGTAGAGGCCGGATTTTGGTGAGCAGTGATAGACGTCTATTGAAAAAGATCATGCCGGTGGTACTGTGGTAAGAAGGGTATTTTGTCATGCTCAGGTTCGGAGACGGATGGAATGAAGGATGCCAATCGAGAGTATGTTGCTTGGTTTTGGCTCCTGCGACTGTTGTCTGGTAGGCTAGGCCGTGCGCCGTGCGCAAAACTAATCTGCTGTCTGGCATTGTTCCGTGCGCGAGGGGGTCGGTTAGATTTGATAGACGTCGACCACCAGCACCAGCGATTCGCTCTCGAAATACAAGTACGTATGTGGTAGAGAGGAAACAACATGGTGATTTTCAGCATGTCGACATGGCGTGCAGCTTTTTAGAAGTGCGAGCCAGTAGCTATCTGATAGGCCTAGCAAGCGATAGGAGACAATGGACGGTCTAAGCTCCTCCGATTTTTCTCTGCGAGCAGGTGTTGTAGATGACGATTCTTAAGTTGAGCAGTGATGTAGGTAGTTTAAAATGCCGAGTTTGTTGCGCGGATGAGTATCTCCGTGTTGAGGATGCTGTGCAGGAATAATGTCCTTATTTCGTCCTCTCCAGCTGACGGGTGTTTTGGTGGCAGCACACGATCAGTGTCCACTAAGTGCAGGTGATACATATTTCGCCTTCATGGCCAGATGGTGCAGTGGTATATCATCCTATTGAATCTTCCGCGGAGAACCTGAATAATAAGGACACTGATCTCATTTAAAACAAGAAATTTCTCGTTCAACCCTGGAAATATTACATCAGATTTGAAGCGTTGCTGATGTGCATAGGCGACGAGAAGTTTTGTAACTTCCCTCTGGTCGTTCTGGAGGAGAGCCTACTGTTAGATGTTAACGGACAAGATTTATTGTATTTGCAGACGAAACCCAGAATACGAGTGTCTATGGAGTCAATAGAGTCATCCAGTATTTACACACAACATTAACCATTAACCATTTGCCGTTTGCCATAAAGCCACCATAACTTCGCAGTTGTACTTGAAAATGAAATCCAAGGCATGAGTGCTCTTCTTGTTTATTGAGTCATCTCTTCTGTACCTTTTCTTCGGATTTGTGTCATAGCCAGATGGTTGGATACGCAATTAAAATCTGATGCACAAAAACATCAGGGCCTATCTAGCCCGGCCACACCTAAAAGGGCAGAGGTTCATGCCCTCAGCCGCACATCTACGGCCACGCGCACCTCACCCGACATCCGTTGATGTCATTACATTCTGTGAATATCACTCGCTGCTTGTCTAACTCGCAAAGGACGGATCCGACTTGAATCAGGTAAAGGTGCTTCCTCAATCTCTCGAGTGGAGGCGAGCGCCAGATTGCGGCCCCTTGTCGTGCAGTTTCATCCGTGTAAGCGACCAAACATCGGCTGCGTTCTGGCGCGAAGGCGAGGGCGAGGCGTCTCAAGAAAGACAACCATGGCCTCTCTAAGAGCATCGAAACCCCCAGTGCGCTCCTCTAGCTTGGATTTCTTGGACGGACAGGGAGGACAATGGAGAAGGGGCTAATTAGATCGAATGACTCGACCACTGCCGCGACATCCCTCAGACACACGCGCAACTCGAGTGCGACGGAGGAACAACGATGTGCTGGCCTCGACGCGGCAGCCCGGATGACCAGCTCTACAGCGAAAACAGCTCTAGGCTACAGCCAATTTAAGTCAACGGTGAGCTATCAGTTTAGATAGGTCTGGTGATGGACTGTGTTAGAGTATAGAGAAGACTTCGGAGTAAGAATTGCCTGAGAACGGAGAAGAAGTTCAGTTTGCTTAATTTACTAATAGACTACAGGTATTATGATATATACAGTGGAATTATAAGAAATAGAGGTTACCCGGAACCGACTCGACTGCATAAATAAGTGGGACCCCGTACCAGAAAATAATTATCCACTGACTGAGAATACTGGGTCACGCAATAGAAGTACGAACAAATCAATGACTGGATTTGTTCGGGAAGAATGGGATTCAAGCAGACTCTAACGTTGAGTCCGATTGGATCAGAAATGTGGGATCCTGCCCGAACTCAGAAATATAGTTCAGGCAAGATGCATGCAACCACATTGGTCGATAGAAAGAAAAGCAGGAAACTGTATTTCCAACAGACTGTGCGAAATCAATTTCATGCCAGGACGCGAGTCCGGATGGTGGGGAAATTGCCAACAAATCTCTCTTCAGACCGGCCTGCGAAGTCCTCTGACTCGTAGACACTCACATACACGGGTCCTGTCTCGAGAAAAGTTACGCTGGCAGTCTAAGGCTCACATTGAGTCGCCGTCAAATCACTCGCACGCACATGACTAGGACCGTCCTCTTGGCTTCTCGACGACCACTCGCGCAACTCCATCTGCGATATATAAACGTAGGACTTTCCAATCATCCACTTTTCTTCACCAGCATCTGTTCTTTCACTCAGTCCAGTCAGTCATTCATTCAGTCTTTTCCTCACTTTTTTGACGGTCTCCTCGAACACTAAATTCAACTATTCGTCTCTTTTTAGTAACCTCTCGGAATAATCACCACTCACCGCTACCATGCATTCCTCTGTTCTAACCTTCATTACTCTTCTTATCACCAGCTCTGTCTCGGCTTTTTCGATTCCCAGCTTCTCTAACGTGGAGCGGAGACATGAGACACAAAGCGTGGTCCCATTTGCCATTTATATTCAGCAAAGTCTTGGGGAACCAGAGGTACCAATCACTAGCCAACGCCATAGATTTCAGTGTGAAAAAAAGTCATACAGCGGAGTCAAGGTTCAGGATGCGTTGCAAAGAGGCTGCAGAGTGTTCAGGGAGAATAAACAACGCAGGAGTTTCCCCCAGCAGTTCACTGCCTTCAAATACCAAGGCATGACTACCCTTAACGAGTGGCCTTTGCAATGGACCCACAGTTACCAAATATGTAAGCCTTTGCGTGTTCCTGCTCGTCTTCATATAGACTAGATCCTTGACTGATCAAACTTGCAGTTTTCCCGGGCAAAAGACGAGTTATCTTTGACAATGAATGTAAATTAGCTGGATTAGTGGTTCGTGAAAAGGATGGTACCTACAAACCCTGCACACCTATAAACGCATGAGCTGCGACAACGGCTTCCATGAAAGAGTAGGTAACTAGCGTTAACCTTCGGATACAAGTAAGTACGCCTTGGGAAGGAATAGAAGGTCAAGGGGTGTCGGAACGAGATGCAAAAAGAAGTTCTATTTGAGAGATCCCGGGCTGAAGTATCTCAGTTCAGAGTATGCCACGTTAGCTAGCTCCAATTAGTAAATCAGGATCTGCTCAGCTGAATTCCCTCCTTGGATAGTCTGTTTTAATGTTGATGTCTATTTCTGTGATCGGCACCCTAAACGACCATACTGCAAGTCGCCTACTGGGCCATTAAACTAGAGCTGCCTGAACTTTTAAATCAGACGCTTAGCTTGTATGGTACACATTTGTAAATGCAGCTCAGCATAAATGTGCCATTAAGCTATTGTACTTAATTTTGGATTCTTTATTGTGCTATTTGAGGCAATATCTAGCACATTGAGATCCCCCGTGAATAGGCCGCACATCGTACAATGCTCTCACACTCACTAGTTACACCACATGTCTCTCCTACCACGCCCATAGCAGACAACCCTTAAGCTAGGAAATTATCGGTTGTCGGAAGCGAAGTGTACACAGTGAGGTAGGCAAGAGTTAAGGGCTAGTGGGTACTCTGCTACATTGTGCGTGTGTTGGATGCAAAATGGCTCGGCTAAAAGGCCTTGCCGGAATTACTGCCCGCAATTTCTAAGTTTATAAAGACATAATTATATTACACTAAGGTCAATCCTGACACACGTAGAACTCAGCCACCTTCTCTATGGAACCCACAAGGTCAGCTAGGGGTTTAATACTGACTCTTTAACACGTTTGAAAATGGAGTATGGTCTATGAGTAAAACGCTATTATATGATTGATTGTTGATACTAGTAAAGTTGCTTCGCATTCTATTTTGTGCTAGAAGATAGAAAGATGTACAGACAAAGATGGTTGTGTACGTTCGACTCAATACACTGCGGACCACACCTAAATTACTCTCCTATGACCCTCACAGGTTCACAACATACTCATATCACTAATTCCAGCGCGGCTATTCCTGTTTGTGCAGCAGTCTATAATAATATCCTTATGAAGCACCACAGCGGAGGGCAAGACTGAACACCTGTACGCGGTGCCCTCTACGAACCTGAGAGTGAAATATTCTCCCAGAGCCAAGTTCAGTCAAATTTCGCAATAGCAAAGAAGTTGGCCCACGAGGCAAAATTTCAAATTACTCCACCATGTCAATCTTTCACTCCCAAAGAGTCTGATTCTCAACTAAGCTTCATCAAGTCTACAAGTACGACCTAGTACATCCTTGTTTCAATGATCACACCTCTCGTCGACTTTCTCTGGCCTCAGCCGGTCACCAAATACACGTCCACGCCGATATTTACACCCGCCGGAGGAAGCAAAGCGTGGAGCACAAATCTGGGAGATAGCTCTTTGGGACGGACGTGAGAGGGATCAGGACAAGCTTACAAGATGATACAGAGGATGGACACAGTCTCGACGGGCGTGGAATTTTGAATTTCAGCATGGAGTTTTTACAAATTGAGCTTTGTGCGTGCCAAGACTTCGGTTGCGAGAGTGCAGGCGACACCATAAACACCGCCATGGTTGGATGGTGTGGTGGTACATCGTCTTGGCCGGTCTGCCAAGTAGAGTCTGGATAGCTTGGACACATATCCCACTTGAGACAGTAGATCGCTGGTTCGAATCCGGCAAAACACAACCACATTTCTCGCGGCGCTGGTATGCATGGATGACGAAGGCATGCTTGGATAACCAAAGGTTTTGAAACGTCCCTTTGGTGGGTACTCATGGAGGAGGGTCGACTGTTTGTGTAAGCAAGCATACCTCATAGTGGTATTCGCGAATGAAATCCAGAGTATGAGTATCTCTAACTTTAAAAGAGTAATCCAACATGTAAACATAGCACCGTTTATATGTTATAACTCTATAGCTAAATACACATTAAATGATTTTTTATAAAAAAAAAGAAGCACCACAGCGTAACATTTATGCAGGTATGCATAAATAATTTTGTGCTATTCCTAGATCAGAACACTTTCTACTCGGGAAAAAAAAGAAATTTCCTAAAAAATCCGAGTTATCTAGACATGCCTCCATATCGATGGACATGTTTCCGCGCGAAATATGGTCTAAGGCTTCTCTTTCTCAAGAGACGTAGGTGTCCAGGCTATATCAAGCTATACTGGAAATCACCACATGAGGCGAACCAGGACATCTTTCATCGTTGACTTGCTTTTATAGTGTCAGCTACACTCTCGCAATCAAAGTCTTGGCGCACACAATGCTCTACAATTTTTAAGTCTCCTTGCCAAAATTCGAAATCTCACACCTGTCGAGAAAGCATCCATCCTCTGCATTATCTTGTAAACTTGTCCTGATTTTCCTCACGCCCACTCTAAGAAACTTCCTTTGTGCGTCACATTGATTTTCCTTGTTAGAAAAAACACTCTGCATGATATTATATGGATTTAAATGATGAAGTAAACCAGACTTAATATTTTACAACTATGAGAACATTGGACTTATATATACATGTAAGGGACAAATTCCCTCTAGTCACATGTGCCTGCCAACCCTAATGATGACTAGCCACCTCTCATCTACCATGATGAGCCAAGGTACACTGTAGTACGTAAATATCCAAACGTATATTCGACAGCAGACGTGATTAGCGCCCTAGGGACATGTGAGGTTTCCGGGCGCGCGTTGTATACTTTGTAAAGGGTGTGGTGCGTGTAGGAATGAAAGGTTATCACGTGGTGTCTCGTGGCTCCTAACTACAACGGATCTTGTGTAGAGCTTGAGAATAATACGTGAATTCCATATATCCTTCAAGTGTAGGATGTCTATGTGTCTATAAACAATAATTCCTCCTTACTCCTCACACTAGTAGATCTACTACTGTGGTCGCGGGCTCTGACCGTGCGATTTCCTGTGCGCGAGTTCATAGGATAATTACGATTACGTGTGTGCCATGTTTCCCACATCCGGCTAACTTGTGCCCTATAGATCTATCCGGGATCCAAACGTGTGTAGAGACAGTCGATCTTGTCGGGAATCTGAGACGAAACAGATAATGGTTGAGTCCTAAATTCGAGGATCAGAATTTCCAATACAGACGGACGACTAAATAATCTATGAAGTTGTCGCAACTTGGCAGTATTGAGGAATGTTGAGCTTGTTGCACAAAACGGAAGTAGTATAAACGAGGGTCCAAATTTTCTTAGTATATGGTATTCTTTGTTCCTTTACAGGAGCGCGTCATTGGTGTTGTTGAAATAAATATGCATGGCGACCATATCTTTTAGGCATAGAATAAACAGGCTGCTGGTAAGATATGTTCAATATCTGTGATATCACGGGTAATGAAGAGGGGGTTGCTAATGAAGAAATTTTGGCTGGTTCAGATGTGTGTATGTGAGGTTCCTGATGGATTAGTTTGTAAGAAAAGTGAGACAAGCTTAGCTTTATGATGGTGTAGGTTACGGGTGTCTCGTGGCTCCAAACTGCCAATTTGTAGATGTGTGTTTGTGTTTATTGTGCTACTTGAGTCTATGACTATATATCACATTGGGCTCCTCTCTGACCCAGGCCACACCTTGTACAGTGCTCCTATCCTCTTTTGTTACTTGAAAGATCATTGATATATTCCCCTTGATGAATAGCCATTCAGCTCAGTATTTACCCGTGGAATCCAGCCACCTTTTCCACGGAACCTTCTACCCAAAAAAAAAAAGGTAGCAATGGAAACTGCGTGCGCGGGAAAAAGTCTCAAAAAACCTGCAGCCCCAGCCAGGCGAGGCCTAGACACCGGGACCACATGAGGTGCGCATATTCATCTATGTCTCCCTTCTTTGTAACAGTCGAGGCCGACTTGATCCAATCCACCATCTCCGTATCGGGTGCTGGGTACGCTCCGGAAACTCATCGGATGGCTTTTCCTCCGTGATCAAGGTTTGGTGATGAGTAGAGCTCCGACCCTACCATCTGATCTGATCGTGGTTAGCTTCATGATAATGGTGATAGGGGAATGTGTTGAGAGATGAAGACGATCGGACCGCGAAAGCGATTGGGAATCCTCTTCGAAGTGAGGACTTTGTTACTCAATCTCGGCTCTGCAGACTCTACAGTGAGAGTTGGAGGTTCGTAGGGGACACCGCTGACAGGTGTTGAGAAAAGTCCCCCTGACAATTTGTATAATAGAGCTTAAGACTGGATGTAACTTAATTTTCTATTAATACAGGGTATTTGATTTTGATTTCATTATCCTAATTTGGCGCCCTATGGACCCATGCAGGTGTCTACAGTCTATAATATTTACGCGGGAGGAAACCTTTATGGTGAAAACCCCCCACGCCTTTCTGCTTGTTGTCTATAGTTTTCACATATTTTCTTCAGGAAGCGCAGTTACCCTATATTGCCATCAATGTTAGCCAACTAGATTACCTCTAATTTCCCAAAGCATTACTTGACCTGTTCCTTACCCTCAGCAGAAATACAGGGCATTGTCTATTCAACTATAGTATTCCTTATCTTGCGCCCGGACACCGACATGAAAGCATTACATAAGCATTACAATTTATCAGAGACTCGTACTAATCTAGAGTTCAGCCAATCTGGGATCCTCGACTCGTTCCGTTTAACGCGCGGGTAAAAAATATAACCCGCACTCAGGGGTAGAAAAGGTATAACTTCCAGCTAGTTTTGAATTTAAATTCATTTAGCCCGATTTGGCGCCATAAGACCCATACAGGTGTCTACGAACTCTAATTATTATTAATTCATTTTATTGTCCTGTCTGAGTCAATGACTATGTAGGACACGTAGGTCCTCTCTGCCTACAGGCCAAAGACACCTATACCAGTAGTATTTCCCCTTCTATGCCTCCCACACAGATCCCCTCAAATAGTACCACCCCTCACAAGTCCTCGTTCGATCATACACTTAGAGGAGCCCTTTGCCCTTCATTATCTC